GCTAAGGGCAACCTGGTGAGGGCCTTAAAGCCTTAGCCCAAGCTTGGTGTCCCCTATTCAAGCATATCCATCCTAAGGGGCCCTAGAGCCTCTACCAAGTCGGAGAGAAATGAGGCGCTGAACAGCTGGAAATCCTGACTCTAAGCAGAGAATCTGAGTTGTGGAGCCCACTCTAACCCATGACCCCAGAGACTGGGGCTCCTCAGCCCCTCCTCTATCCAATCACCCTGGGTAACAATGTAACCTGGGGAAGCTAACATTTCCCATTTAATTATCAGGCCCAGGTGTGGAGAAGACCTTTACCCACCTGTGGGAATTCCACCTGCCAAGGCTTGGGGAGGATAGTTTAAATTGTGGTAAATGAAGTTAAAATGAGCCAGTCCAGAGCTTCCATCCTCCCCCAGGTCCACAGCTTCCCCTGGCCCCAACTCACAGATGTTTGGGCAGGAAGTCCCATACCTTCAGAGGGAGACACCGCCTCCAGGGAGGCCTCCAGGTTGACTACAGGCCACAGCAAGCATTTCAACTTTTCCCACCTACAGCACTAACTTCTCCAGCACCCAGACCCTCTGCCCAAGGAAGCCCAGAGAGTTGGGGGGATTCCAACACACACAGCCTGGCAGTCAGCCCACTGCCTTTCACACCATTCAGGCTGTCTAAACTGTGGAGAAGCCCATGGGAAGTAGGGAGTGAAGGTTCTGAAGTCCTGGGGAGGCTGAGAGGTAGGTTCTGCTCTAGATCACTGGGCAGTCAATGGAGTCCTGATGCACCCTCTCTAGGGTCACCTAGTGCCCAGGGACATTTATCAGGCTGGCACAGTCTGCCAGAACAGGAAATGTCCTCCAGCTTCCTCTGTCCCCATGCCCAGCCTGACACCCCGACCACCTACCCAGCTAGGCTTCAGGAGAAAGCCAGGGACTATCCCCCCAAGAATGGGCAGGACTCGCCAGCCCCAGCCCGCCCCCCCATCCCCACACGTGACTTATTTTCACTGCCCCTGAGTTGAGGAGAGAAGGGTGAGACTCTGCGGGAGGTGGGGGGAGACCCTCAGCGAGCCCTGCACCCTGCAATGGTGCTTTACGGTGTCAGGAAGGGTGAAACTCTCCCCACACTCCTCGCCTTCTCTGTGAGAGGACACAGAGTGCCAGCTCTCAAAGGGCATATTCTTGCCAAAGGCCCTCTTTTGTGACCCTCTCCCCCAATCACATTTCCAGTGCTCCACCTCCACAAGGCCAGCACCTCCATCAGGCACCCTGTGAGTCAGCTCCCGGTGAGCAGAGCATAGACTTCCTCCCTCCCAAGCCTCCCTGGGGACACATGGGGCAGAGGCAGCCTCCAACCCCCACCAACCGGGGTGGGGGCCCACATCCGGGCAGGCCCCCAGGGGCTCCCGGCCTGGCTCACAAGGAAGCCTGCAGCCTGGCCCCCCTTGCCGACCCCTGACAGGGTGGCGTGGGAGGAAAAATCTTCCAGCCATCTGCTCAGCTGCTGGGTTTCCGGTCGGGGCGGGGCCGGGAGACACCAGGAGGACTTGCTCTCCTGGGGAAGTGCCCCTTGCCCCTACTGGGAAGAAGAATACCAGGTCGAGAAGCCCAGTGGTGGCCAGTGGGACCTTGGAGCCCTGGCTGAGGAATGGTGGTTGCCCAGGGGTCAGGGCCCAAGTGAGCCGGTGTCCAGCTGTGGCCTTTGGACCTGCCCAGTTTCCAAGGGACTGCAGGCCCCCGGAAGCTAGGGAGCTGGGGCGCAGGGCTCCTGGGTCCAATTAGGCCTGACTCAGCGAGTGACCCCAGCTGAGTCACTTCCCCTGGGCAGACTGCCCGCCTCAGTTTCCTCAGGGAGGGCGGGTAGCTGGGAACAGGGTCTGGCTGGGAACAAGAAACTTGTATTACACCTCTGGACTCCAAGGCAGGCTTCTCCCATCTGCCAGATGGAAGCAGCTTCCTGCCCCGCCCAGCCAAAGATGCTGAACCCCCGGGGGGCAGGCGGAGGGGGGGCCCTTGGGACCATTTTCCCAGGAAACCTGGCAATTAAGTGCTAGCCCCCTCTGGGGCACTAATTGAGCCCTGCACACTTATTGAGCACTGACTGCATGCCAGGCATTATGCATGCCTCTTTTCAACACAATCCTATCGTGCAGTCATTAGTACTCCCATGTCATAGAGGAGGATAGTGGAGCTCAGAGGTTAAGGGACAAGGCCAGGGGCCCAGAGCCATAGCAATTACGGCCAACACAGTTCAAGTCCCTACACTGTGCCAGGCTCATACACTCCATATGTATGAGGCTTACACACAGGCTCATATACCCCAGAGAGGCTGGGACTCTTGGTCCCCATTGAGATGAGGTCCAGAGAGGTCAGATAATTTGCCCTAGGCCTCACAGTTAGAACCTGGCAGATCCTGGATTTGGCTCCAAAACCCATGTTGCTACCAGGGAGAAGTGGGAATTTAACAGGAGAGGCATCTCATTTAATAATATTAATAATATCATCTATTATTGTCAGGTGAGGCCCAGCACTGAGTGGTTTATGTATATCTCCACCCACCCCCCCGCAAAAGTGGGGTGCGCCGGGACTGGGAGGTCTCTCCAAGTGCCTCCAGCCCTACCCCCTCTGCCCTTGGGGAGGCTCCATCCAGGAGATGGAGGGTGTCCTGGGGTAACACGGCTTGACCAAGATATCCAAGGGTCCCCAAAGGCTGAACTGCTGCAGGGCTACCCTGTGCCTGCTGGACCCAGGCTACCCCCATATCTGGATTGTTCTACAGAACCTGATTTGTACTAGAAAGTTCTATTTATCAGGAAGGATCAAGCCCAGGGTTCACAGGAACGGGGGTTGGGAGGATCAGGAAGGAGAACAATCAGAGCTAACATCCACAACAAATAACAGTCTTATCATTATTGCGACTACCACTGCTGATCAAAATGTTCTAAACACTTTGCAAATTCACTCATATGGTTCCAATGATCCTAAGAGTTAGATACTCTTATTACATCCATTTGACAGGTGAGGAAACTGAGAGGGACGGTTAAACAAGGCCTCACAGCAAGGAAGCACCCCCACCTCATCCTGCCTGCATCTTCGCAATTCTTCTCCCAAAGACTCATGACCCCCCAGAGCCGCCCAGATGCTGGAGGTGCTCGAGGGATGCTGATGGACAAGCATTCCGCAGCCAGCAAACTCACGCTAATGATGGTAATGATAGAAAATCACCACCACCACCTGTAATTGAACCCTCTCTCTGCCAGGCAGCAGGTGCTTTTCACACACTGGCTCATTAAATCCCTACCACAGACCTGTTATATCCCATTTCACATGGGGGGAAACTGAGGTTCACAGGTGTCACTTGCCCATGTCCTCAGCTGGACAGAAGCCGTAGGAGCATGGGACCTATGCTGAGCCCCTGCAGGTCCTCAAACCCCAGCAGCTGGTACTTCAGTCCAGCCCCTTCCCAGCTGGCTGGCTCTGTGGTCCACAGGGACTCACACAAGTTCTAGGAATGTTCACCCTTTGGCTCAGAAGGATTTTCCCTCCCAGAGGAGCATTGTGGGAAAAGGCTCAGAAAAAGTGTATTAAAAACCCTTCCAACTTCCCAAGCGGGCCCTGGCCTCTCATCTGTTGACCCCAACCCGCCCAGGCAGCCTCTGCCTGCTCTCCCCCCATTTGGGCTAGGTCTCCAGCCCCCGCAGCCCCAGGGAGCCTGCAGAGCTGTTTCCGCTCTGACAGCCAGGTCAGTGATGGGAAAGCCAGACATGACTCGCGCCCACAGCCCTGGAGACCCATGTGCCCATCGCCTGGCAGGGGCCCTGCGGCTGGATTATAAATGGGGAGGCAGGATGGGCTGGCTGCCCTAGCTGAGCCTGGCAGCTGGTGGGTGTCAGGGGATGCTCCTCTCCCAGGCGAGGGGCGTGGGGGTCAGATCTCAGCCCCTCCTGCTCCCAAAGCTGGACCTTGGCCCTGCAGACATCGCCTTGCCAGGCCCTCTGCTCCGGAGCCCCCACCCGCAGCCCAATTTCACTTCCTCCCACTCAGTCAGGCCTGGCCATGCCCCTCCCTGGAGGCCTCCAGCTGCAGGCAGTGACCTCCTCACCTACATCATAGTGGCCGGGAATGGGGAAGAGAAACAGGAGAATGAGGAAATTAAAGAAAAAAAAAAAAAAAAGCAGGACAGGCAGGCAGACCCCCCTCCCCAGTTCCTCAAATGCAGTCCCCATCATCCCAAAAGCCCCCATAGTCAGAGGGAGGAAAGGGAGGGGATTTCTCCACCAAGCATTAAAGGCTTCTGACATTGCCCTCCCAGCCATGCTGACCTATAAGGCAATACCACTCCCATCCCCCCTTATTTTTGGATGGGAGGATTCACCTGGGCTCCAGGTCTGGGGTGTGAGGGCACCAGCTCAAAGAGAACTGTGCTCCGGGACCCTTGAACCCTTGTGAAACCCCAAACTCAGTGACTTGGGGGCACCTGGCCTGGCCCACCTCTGAGGTGTGGGGTGTGAGAGGGGCTTCTAGAATCCAGAGATACACTCATAGCCACATGGCCTGGGCTGGGAGAGTGGGGAGGGACAGGTGGCCCCACTCCCAGAGGGCTCTTCCAACCTCACAGCCTCCGTTTGACTACTTTCACTTTCAAAGTACCCCAAGCGCTTGACCCTGGACCCCTCCTCACCACGCACAAGTTGAGGGGGACTGCTGCCCTGACTGACTGGGCTACTTTAAGAGGCATTAACTGCGGGCATTAACCATACCCTCTCAGCGCCTTCCCCACGGCCTCCCCTATTACATCCCCAACACGTGTGTGGGTGGGGGTGTCGGCTGGGATGGTGTCGCAGGAGCTGGAGAAGGGCCGGCCCTGAACACCCCATCCGGGTCAGGGGCAGGACAGTATTTCAGGCTGTTGTGGGAGTGCGCAGACACCGGGCAGAACCGGACAGGGGGCCTCCTCTTCCCCCATTAGAGCCCTCCCAGCCCCGGAGGAGGGAGCACCGGGAACGGCGGGCTTACCTGAAAGAGAGGGGGTCCGGGCCCGGCCTGCCCATGGCGTCGCGCTTCCCCGGCCCCCCGAAATCCCGAGGGGGCGGGCGGGCCCCCGCCCCGGGCGCGTTCTCTCCCACGCGCCGGCTCCTGGCTCGCAGCTCGCTCGAGCGGGGCTCAGGCAGGAAACCCGGGCTCGGAAAATGGCCAGCACCTCATCATTTCCGCCGCCAGCGCTTGACAGTTGCGGGAGGATGCGCCCCTGGGCCGCCGCCGGGGAAACTTTGCTGCTGCCGCCGCCGTCGCCACCACGGGCCGCGACAGTCCGGGCGGGCGGCCGGGCGGAGGCGGTAGCCCGAGCCCATGCCGCCTCGCGCCGTTATGTAAAGAGGAACCGGCTGTGTGAGCGGAGCCCGACGGGGGAGGGCGGCCACGACAGGGGCGGGGCCAGTATGGGCGGGGCCACGGGAGACCACGCCCCTGTCCGCCCGCGAACCACACGGCCGGCGGGGACGGCTTCGGGGGCGGGGCCTAACCTGGCCCCGCCCATCAACCCTGCTCAGCCGCTGCTCACCGGGTCCTGGGGTCTCAAACGCCGAGCCCGGAGAGAGGCGGGCCCTGCCAAGCCACGCCCACACCTCGCCCACCCGATGTCGCTTCGCGCAGGCTAAAGAAGGGAATGAAAGACCGAGGGGCGGGGAAACCTTGGCCCCACCCACCTAGTGCCTGCAGACCCCCCAGGTGCCTCAGCGCGGCGGGGGCGGGGCCAGATGGAGGAGAGGCGGGGCCTGGGGGCGGGGCTGGGACGAGCTCCTTGGCCTCGAGGGGGCGCGCCCCTGCGACTCCCTCCTGCAAGGCGTTATCTGCGCGCTCCGGGCGGCTCCGCGCAATAGCGACCACAGCTTTCATCACCCCCAGGGGAAGGATCCCAACCCCGCCCGGCCCCGACTATCCGCGACTCTGCTGAGTCGACCCACCACGGCCCTAGCCCCGCCCCATTCGGGTTCTGTCCCCACCCTCGGTTCGGCTCGCCGTTGCGGGTGCCTGGGTAGGCCGACCGCTATTGGGCCACTACTCTCGGGGGCCCCACCCCAGGAGTGCATCTTTCTTCAGGAAGCCCTCCCGGACCGCTGGCACCTATGACCTCTGGGCCTCCCTCTCTGCTGTCCCCCGTGCTTTCATTTTCTCTACAGGCCTTATGTGGGGTCAGGTTGACAGTGGGGTGCCCCCTAGTCTGCGGTGGAGCATACAGTCAGCCAGCCCTTCCCCCAACACAGGGGAGGGAGGGGAGAGAGGACTGTCTACTCTTCTCTCCCTCCCACGACAGGAAACAGTCGATTAGGCCCCCAGCTTGCAGGAACCTCATCACCTCTTCCCAGGCAACATACTCCTCCAGTCTGCTGCCTCCCCCTCATACTAACCTTGGGCAAATGACCTGACTTCTCCATACCTCAATTTCCTCATCTGTGAAATGGAAATAGTAAGAGTACCCACTCCACTGGGTTACTGTGAGGATTAAATGAGTCAATGCATTAAAGCACTTAGCATTGGGCTTTGCCCAAGGGAAAGCACTGCTACCTGCGTGTTTGTTAATCAGGTTTGAGTTCTGCCCTTGGAGATGCAGAAAGGGGTTCCCCAGAAGATGGGGATTTCCAGACTCCACCCAGATGGGGATCAGGGCTGGTCTGCTGCAGGATCCTTGAAATCCCATAACCTTGAAAGACCTCTAGCAATGAACATGTGCTTTCCACAAATACTTGTTAAATGGCTACAGTGTGCCAGGCACTGTTCTAGGTGCTGGAGACACAGCAGTGAACAAGACAGACAAATATGCCTGCCCTTGGTGGAGCTGACATTCTGGCGAGGGGACGCAGAGCATTAGTACATGAATAAACGGAATAATGGATTGGGAGGAAGATAAAACAGTTAAAGATAAACAGTAGGAAGGGGCTGTCTTAGACTGGAGGCTTGGGGAGGACCTCTCTGAGGAACTAACATTTGAGCCGAGACTACCCATTTCCCCCATCCTGCAGCAAGAAGCATCTGGGCACAATAACGTCTAAAGGAAGGGCATTCCTGGCCAAAGGAACAGTGAGTGCAAAGATCCTGAGGTCGGAATAAGCTTGGTGCATTTGAGGAAAGTCAAGAAGACAGTGTGATACTCAGGCTTACAGACGGGAAGAGATGAAGTTGGAAAGGCAGGCCCACCACATGGAAGCTTAAGGGTCCTGGTGGCAAGTTTAGGAATTCTCTTGAGAGCAATAGGGAGCCACGGGGGTTTTTGAAGGACCTGTTGAGCTTTGGATTTGTGCTGCAAAGTCTGGAGTTGGCAACCCATTAGAAGGTGCACCAGTAACATTCACACAGCATCTGGGGATGTGGGACGAGGGGGGTGAGGTATTAGGGAAGCCTAAACCGATCATTCCATATTATTATCTCTATATGGCACCTGGGGAGACTGAGGCCTAGAGAGACCAGTTACCTGCCTGCAGTCACACAGCTCCCAGGTGGCGCCTACAAGAGCAGCAGGTACACAGCAGTTGTCAACTGGTTGCTAAAATCTGCCAGCCACAAGCACTTTCCCTCTCACTGCCCAGACAGCAGTTTTGCTGACTTAAATGGAGACTTGTGGTTCTTCCCCTTTTTAATCATAGCGCAAGCCTTCTCTCGTGCCAGATTTCTCTGAGGCCCAAAGTGGTTTCCCTTCTCGCTTAATTTCTTCTTGCCAGGTGTCCCCTCCAGAGTCCAGTTGGTTGTTTCGAGCGCTCTCTCCGCGATCGAGACTTCTCACTCTGTTTCTGCTTTTCCTTAGAAAGGCAAAGGGTTTACAACGAAAACCCCTTCTGTTGCCTTGCCCTAGATTTGAGAGCACCCCCGCTTTGAACTGCGATTTTCCTCTTCTTGCAGTAGCTCCTCCCACTTCACAGGTCCCTGGGGCCCAAAGTGAGGAGGAGGTTTATCCGAATTCCCCTGAAGCAAGTGAGATAGTCTCAGCCAGCAGGTCCCACCGCCCTTGCTCTCATACCGACCAGGAGAACGCCTACTGCCTGCCAAGTGGGGGCTGGAGACTCTCAGGATTAATAATAGTAACGAATCAGCAGCCAATGACAACATTAGTAAATGCTTATTAATACCATTAACATGATATTAACAATTGGTACTGATAACAACAACACAAAAGTTAACCAGTACGGGATTAACAATAAAAGAATCAATAACAATAGAATAATAATGTAACGATAGTTAATAGAGCTCGTTAAAAATAACAATAGTTACTGTTAGCTATTACAGAACTAATAGTAAATATAAAATAACAACAGGATATCAGGAGCAACAATAAATATAATAACAGGTCTAGGATTCATAGTTACCATAGTAGCAAATGGTATCAGAATTAATAACAATAAATAACAACTAACAGTAGGATAGTAATAAGATTAGTAATAAATGTAACATATTTGGAACGTCTGGCTGGCTCAGTGGGAAGAGCATGTGACTCCTGAGCCCGGGGTCATGAGTGCAAGCCCCACCCCACACCGGGTGTGGAGGTGACTAAAAAAATAAACTTAAAAAATAATAATAATAACAATCATAGTTAACAATCCCAGGACTAATAATAGTCTATAATATACTATATATTATAGGACTATAATATAATAATAATAATAGTATAATCATAGTTAACAGTTCCAGGACTAATAATAGCACTTAATAGTTAAAGGATTAAAAATAATAAATAGGGGCATCTGGGTGGCTCAGTCAGTTAAGCGGCCGCCTTGGGCTCAGGTCATTATCCTGGGGTCCTGGGATAAAGCTCCGTGTTGGGTTCCCTGCTCAGCGGGGGTCTGTTTCTCCCTCTCCCTCTTCCCCTCCCCACTGCTCATGCTCTTGCTCGCCCTCTCTCTCTCAAATGAATAAAAACTTTTTTTAAGTAATAGTAAAATAGCAGTAGGCTAGAAGAGGATTAATAGTAATAGAACAATAGTGTAATCGTAATAGCTAATGATCTAGGATTAACAATAATATGATTACCAGTTGTGAAGGCTTGTTTCATGTCAGACACCCCTCTGTACCTGTGCTGACTGATGAAATTTTCTGTGATGATGGAGACATGCTATCTGCACTTGTCCAAAATGGTCACCACTAGCCACATGAGGCTACTGAGCACCTGAAATCTGGCAAGTGTCACTGAGGAACTAAATTTTAACTTTCTGTAATGTTAATGAATTAAAATTTAAATAGCCTCATGTGGCCAGTGATCTCTGTCCTGGATGGCGCAGCTCTGGACATTTTCCATAGATTAACTCATTTCATTCTCGTGACAGCCCTGGGCTAGATACTCTTATTGTTATTATTATCCCCATTTTATTATGAGGAAACTGAGTCATTGAAAAGTGAAGTCATAAGACCTGATCACAATCTCCCCACTTCAAAGACAGAACACCATTGTCTGAGGGGGATCCCTAATTAAGAATGAAGGCTCTGGGGCGCCTGGGTGGCTCAGTCGTTAAGCGTCTGCCATCAGCTCAGGTCATGATCCCAGAGTCCTGGGATCAAGCCCCACATCGGGCTCCCTGCTCGGCGGGAAGCCTGCTTCTCCCTCTCCCACTCCCCCTGCTTGTGTTCCTGCTCTC